CTTTTTAAATGAAATACATGCAATTCAAAAGGTTGAAAAAAGTTTATTTTAAAAAACAAAGAGAAATAAAATATTAATGATTAGATTCATGTAATTGAATATGGAGCAAATGAATTAATTCATGACATTATTCAAAATAAAGAAACTATTAAAATTGAGTGTAAATTAAATGAGTTAATTGAATTAGTACAATTATTTCCTAATTGTGAAATAATTTCACAAACAACATTATTAAGCCCAATTATTATTCAAGTATATAATCAAAAACTTCATTTATTTCTTGAGTCTCAAGAATATCAATGTCTTGGTATTGTAGGTAAATTAGATAAAATAATAAACCGTTATTGTTTGTTATTTTATTCTTTATTTATTTAATATTTATATTTTAGATATTCAAATACCTTTTTCACAACTGGATAAGTATAAAGAAAAGCTCCTTCTTTTTCCTTCAATGCCATATCTTGTTTGGTCTACTCAAACAGACAGTTTAAAAGAATATGTAACTTCTCATCAAATATCAATAAAAATCGAACCTCATTATTTTATTCAACAACACTATGAAAATTCTCCTTTCGATTTATCAAGTGGGAATGTGTACGATTGTATTGGCGGTATTTGTGCTCGTATCCATTCTATATTAGATCCTTATGATACAGTCTCTTTTAATGTTACCCGTTTAATTAATGGTAAACAACGCAGTGTTTATCATTCTATTATTCAGGGCACTCTTCAATTTTCTATCACTAAAGATACTTTCTTATCTTATAATTCTTGTCCCAAAGTTATTGTTCTTTATTGTTACAACTCAGCCCCACTTCTTAACAAAGAAATGCATCATGGATTTAATCAAACAAATAATAATGTGATTATCACTCTTCTTTTTAATGAGAATAAAATCAAGACTTTTGTTGAATTTCCTTTTTGTGACCATTTCTCACTACATTAAAACTATACTAAATAAAAAAATTAATTATTTTATTCTATTCTTCTCTTTTTATTTAAAAAATAAAAACTTAAAAATTAAATTAAACTTTTTATTTTAGTTATCAATAATATGGTAGAAACAGGTTCAATGGTTACATTAGTTAGCTGTGATAACGAGAACTTTCAAGTAGAAGAGGCAATTGCAAGAGAAATTGGAGCAGTTAGAAACCTATTAGAGGACTTTCAAAATGAAAAAACAATTCCGTTGACTCAAGTAAATAAAGAAACATTGAAAAAAATGATCGACTTTATCAGCCATCACCATCAATATCCCTTCCTTGGAGGAAATGAAAGTGAAAAAAAAGGACAACTAACGTCATGGGATTACTCTTTCTTTGATTTGGACCAACAAAAATTATTTGAATTAATTATTGCTGCAAACAACTTAGATGTGCAAGTATTATTAGAACTAGGCTGCAAATATATTGCTGAAATGATCAAAGGAAAAAGTGTTGAAGAACTCAGAAGTACATTTGGAATTACTAATGACTTCACCAAAGAAGAAGAAGCAGAAATTAAACAAAAGAATAAATGGTTAGAAGAATTTGTTTAATTCATATTTTAATTTTCATTTTTTTTAGATCTTTATAAATGAGAATTTAAAATTAAACTTCATTTCTTTGAGAAATTAGTTTTTAAGAAAGGGAAAGAAAGAATAGAAAGAAAGAATGAAATTATCGAGAAAAGATTTAATTTGAAGAGAAGAGGCATTTGGATTTGAAGAGAACCAAGAGTTCAAGAGAAAGATTTCATTAAATTTACCGAGTTTTTTTAATTGATGAAGAAGACGGTTTTTTTCTGCGAGTAAAGATTTAATTTTTTTGAATTCGATGTCTTGAATGTCTAATAAATTAGATCGTTGAATTAATGATTCAAGGTTTTGTTGTTTTTCTTTTTGATTTTTGTTAGTTACTTTAATTTCTTCTTTAAGGAGTAAATTTTCTGGTTCTATAGTTCGTGCAATGATATGAATTGTTCCATCTAATGTGATTTCACATTCAACTTCAAATCGAACTGCTCCTGCTGGAAGTTCTGGAAGTCCAGTTATTGTGAATGTTTCTAAATAACTTAATTCTTCTTCTTTATTTCCTTCTCCTTCAAAAATAGGAAAACATGCTGTTGTTGAATATTCTGTTGATGTTTTAAATTCTTGAATATGTTTAGTTGGTAGTCTTGTAAATCTTTTAATTAATGTACTAAATCCTTGTTTTGTTTTTAGTTGAATTGAATGTGATGTAATATCAATATATGTTGGAATATTTAATTCTTCTTTTTTTCTTTTAATAATATCTTCTTCTTCTTCTTCTTCAATATCTTTTTTTCCTTTTTTTATT